ACTGTTGGCGCATCAGGTTATACATGGCGTTTCTATTTCACTTAAAAACTCATTAATGAATCGACAGGATTCCAAGTATACCCGTCCTGTGTTGGTTAAATTCTACAAATAAAATTATCCATCCAAAACCTCCCTTCACATATTTCTGGGGGAAGTCTAAGTTCATATAAACAGCACTGCAGCAAATTCTTTTACTATATTTAATATTTTAAACAATTCTCGGAGTTATTTTTGTAAGCCCGAAAACCTGTTGACAAGTGATTTCGATTGCATTTCTAATTTTCGACCACGAGAACGGAATTTGTCGTATCAAGTCTCCTTAAAATGGTCGTCTTTCTCTTCAGATCCTGCAGTGAATCTAAGTTTAAAAAGATAAGAAACTGCAGTTCAGCCCACTGTAAGCTTTATACATTCTGAAAAATCTATATATTTAAAGAGATTGGGGGAAATGCTTATTTGAGACTCTGCTTTATTACAAAGTGTGAGGATGCCGCTATAATATTAGCCAGCTGTGTTTGATTTCAGTGCTATTGGCCAGTAGTTCATCTGATAACCATCAGATCGGAGTATTCACGGGAGCACAGTGCTGACATTGTTATTTTGCAGATGTCAATCACAGCGACTGCAGCTCTGGGTTTCCACACCTGTATGGCGCACCTTTTCACCTTTTGACTCCCAGGTTTCCTTGCCTGCCAGAAGTAAACTTCATTTGATATAACTCTGGGGGAAATTTAGCGTTTTCCCCATTTTCAGCCTCTTTTTAAAACATTGTGAGGCGCTTTGAGCTTCACTGAAGAAGTGGCACCCCAATCTAACGTCCTTTCCCCGCGATCCTTAACGTTGTCTTTTAGTCTGGTGTTATCATGTACGGTTCAGTGCATGTGATAAATAAACTGGAGCAACCAGAGTTTATAGAGCTGGAGTTCTTTTTTTAGTTTAGTGTGAACGAATAGATGAAGCACTCAACACGCGTGTAAACAGGCAATAGTAGTTTTCTGTCATTTTCAGCTACATTTGAATAACATTGTTATTTGAAAATGTCGTGTGAATATTTATTCTGGCATTGTTCTAATTAGATATTGAAGTGATGCAGGTAAAGTAAACGTGTTGTCCAGTTAACATTCCCGTATTGCACACATTTCCTCACTTCGCCCCCGCACATCCCTCATAAAACCCATGCAAATATTAAAGCAAGTTTGAATGTGATAGATCCAGAGGCAATTATTTGCATCTGATAGGTGCTGACTTCTCTAGCTTGTTATTCACTCAAAAATGTATTTTATAAATCAAGGACGGTCAATCCAGCATGGTATCTATTTGCGTGTTTCTTATATATTCGCCTATATGTCATGTTTTCATATACATATACCAATGTGTGTATTTAATCATAGTAAATAAGAACATAATTTCCATTCATGATATTTAATTTATTAATTTATTTAAACCGGCCAATTGGCAATCGTTCTGCCAACACTAAAACAGTTTCTCTATTAATTTCAAACAATTTCTAATTAACGAACGTGCTTTTCCGAGTTGATATTATTGAAACGTCGTGCTTTCCTTTTCGTTACTCAGGTTTGTGTTTGTAGGTACTGTAACATGTGACTGAACATTAAAAGTCAGATTAGTGAGAATCAGAAAGACATGGAGTTCAATTTTTCTGATTCTGAATGCTATAGTGAGAATTAATGTCTTCCCCTCCACCACAACCCCCACCCCAAAATATACGTTTGTAGTTAAAACGCCTTGAATTTTCAATGGGATACAGCGCAAAGTTTGCCTAGGTCCCATTCGTCTGAATTATCTTCGAAATAATCCTGTAAATACACTTTCTGCCCTTGTAATGTGAAGCACCTCACTCCAGGTTCTTCAGTTAACTCTGGACGTTTCGATTCCCAACATTTAAGACGTAAGGATCCAGAAAGCATTTTTGCTACAATAATATTGTTACTTAAGGGTAATGCGCGAGTTATCCTTAGGACTGAATTGTCCGGATAACAGATGTGAAGCTTGTGTTCTGTTATCGTTTAACTTAAACTTAAAGTTATATTTCAGAAGTAACAACTAAAGGATTTTGTAATTACGTTTATTTTCCACGTAGTAGACATTGCAAAAAGCCGAAACATTCTTGGTTAAAATCCCTTTTTAAATATTAAGCAAAACTGAGAGATATCAGGCACTGAGAAAATTGTTTAATAGTTTAAATTAGTGTTCCTATTTGAATTATGCATTGGCAGTAATCCACAAATATACAGTGTATAAATAGATTCATAAAGTAGTCATATCTTTACATAATCTAAAATTGAACTGGCATTCTAAAACTTCAATTAGAAGGTTAACAAAATTAGAAAAGACAAGGATATTAGTTTCACACTAGACTAATATTTGCATCACAAAAAGGAGCAGGAGTAGTCCATTCGGCCCTCCATTGTTTCCCAATGGCCATGGCTGAACTTCTACCCGGACGCTGCCTTCCTTCACCATTCCTATACGTTTTATTTGCCTTTGTATCCAAAATATCTACCAATCTCTGTTTTGGATATACTCAACAGTTGAGCATCCATTGCCCTGTGGTAGACAATTCCAAAGATTCACAATTTTTCCTCCCCATCTCGGTCATAAAGAACTGTCTCTGAGACTACCACTCCTACTTATAGGTTCCCCAGCTAGAAGCAATAGCCTCCCAATATTTGTCATGTTAAACCCCAAAAGAGCTTTATGTTTCAATAAGATTTCCTTCTAAACTCTGAAAGGCCTACTCTGGTCACTCTCTCTTCATAAAGCAATCCCCTCAGTGCAGGAGTCACTGGTGAACCTTTAGTTGCACTCGATCAAAAGCACGAATACCGGTCCCTGGGTCATGAGATCAAAACTATACACAATATTTCTGGTGTGGTCTCAAAACGATCCTATATATTTGCAAGTATTACTTCTTCCTTTGTGAATAAAGGCTAATATAATATTTGCTTCCTTAACTGCTGGCTGCATCTATATAATGTGTGTGCAAGTAACCCATGTCCCTCTGAATATCAATATTTCTCAGTCTCTCACCGTTTTTAAAATTATACCTTTCCATTCCCCCCACAGAGTGGATAACTCCACATTTTGCCACATTACAATTTAATCTGCCATATTCTCGCCCTTACTATACCCTTCGTCAGGCTCGCTGTGTACTCCTCACAGCTCGAGTTCCTAGTTGCTTTGTATCGTCAGCAAACTTGGATTCATTACTCTCGTTGAAATTATCGAGGTGGGCTGTAAATAGCTGAGGCCCAAACACTGTACCCCACGAGGTACAGCCTGCCGGTCTGAAAATGAGCCGTTCATTCCTGCTCATTAGCCTTCCTGCTCCTCTGATGCTGCTTGGCCTGCTGTGTTCATCCAGTTCTACACCTTGTTATCCCCGTTCATTCCTACTTTCTGTTTTCTGTCTGTCAACCAACCCTCAATCCAAGTTAAAATATTACCCCAATCCCACCAGCCTAATTTTGTATAACAACCTCTGGCGTGGTACCTTTTTTTCTCTGAAGATCCAAATCCCTTATCTATCCTAGACAACAAGGTGCAAGGCTGGATGAACACAGCAGGCCAAGCAGCATCATAGGAGCAGAGAGGCTGACGTTTCGGGCCTAGACCCTCCATCAGAGGGTCTAGGCCCGAAACGTCAGCCTCTCTGCTCCTATGATGCTGCTTGGCCTGCTGTGTTCATCCAGCCTTGCACCTTGTTGTCTCGGATTCTCCAGCATCTGCAGTTCCTACTATCCCTTATCTATCCTATTAGTTACACGTTAATAAATCAGATTTCCCCGACACGGTTTCGCTTTCAGAAATCTGTATAAGCTTCGCTCATCAGTTACTGGTTTGCTGAGAGCCATGTAACCTCGTCCCTGATAACAGATTCCAACACTTTCCCCAAGGAAAATTATGTGAACTACAGGAACGACAAGTATACAACAGTCCGACATGCTGTGTGTTCGAGTAGATCGTTGTAGAAATTCGATGCGCATTATTTTTCAACTGATGCAAGTTTCCATAGATTTAACTTAGTTTCAATAACTGGGCAGGGGGGGGGGGGGGGGGGGGGGGTGGGGATGATGTGGCACTTAAGAGCAATTCCTCGAAGCGTAACGGTGAGGCGCTGTCCTGCAAACAGCACCAGTTTGGTTTTGTTACCATTCTTCTCCCACTTTTTGTACAAACATCAAATGTTTCACTCAATGTAACAATCAGTGCCTCTCAGTGAGCCTGTGTATTTTAGTACAGAGTTATTTACAGTGTTCGGCAGCAACAGGCGTTTTCCTGTGCCTTTAATTCTTTTAACATAGTTTTACATGAGGAAGTACGATTATATTTCGTGCCATCGCCCCAAATTATTAGCGATTTTACATCTAATCAGAAAGCATCACGTCTCGCTATTTGATTTCAATCGTTATGGCATTATCAGCAAGAAGGAAAATTAATTTTACTATATGACAGCAACCAATAAAGGTAATATATGTTCAAATTGACTCTACCTTAGAACTCGTTGGGAACAGAACCATGGATTGGAGACGGGAGCGGGAACAAAAGGCGCTGTGTCAAGGGCAGCAATAATTTGCAGAAACGTGAAAAAGGGACAGCAGGCCTATGCAAATAAGGCTGACTTATTTATTTAAGAAATTATTTACTATAATTTAATTTATAGTTTACTGAGGGCCTCGTCTTCCTGAACATGAATCCAAGCAGTTTATATCTGTTTAACATCCACTGCGCGACTTTCTTTGTTGTTTGTGAGTAAGAGCTTCAAATAAAAGCCAGCAAAACAATTACATTACCGGCTGTGGCATTTAAAGAAGGATTGCAGTGAGGAATATAAATATAATTTGCTTTAAAGTATGCGCCCTGAGGATTAAACTCGCACACAAAATTTACCAGCCCACATCTAATTACAATGGTTTAATATATTTTCGAGCCTAAACGCGCGCAGACCTAATCGAAAAGCATTAAAATACTAAAAAAAATACGAGGACTGACTAATCTTTTATTGTTTGTATCGGTGTAAGAGTAGTATAAATGGAAATTTAAATTTAAAAAATACAAGCACATTTAATTAGGATATCAAAATTTCTGTACTTTTCTCTTGTCGGAAGGCATAACACACACTTTTGGCACTATGCCATAGTCACTGTTGCAAAAATTATTTACAGTTTCTCCTATCTTTCACAAGTGTATGAAATCATTTATAAATTCGATACTTGGTACAAACACTTCAAATCTGCTACTGCAGCTGTGGCTCTTTTGCACTGAACCATAACATATTGTACTTACTATCAAACTGGTTTGGTCAAAATATTTATAAAACTAACTTGACAGAGAGGCACCACAGGACTGTAGACTAAAATAGAAGTCACGATAATTGCATCTCCCTCAACATTTTGTAGAAAAAGCAGAAGGTGTTGGAAAGACTGTTTACGCAGTGTGGAATTCTGAGCTTTAATTTGATGCAGTGAAAACGTAAGAATGACGCTAAAATGTTTTTTAATTGAGTACAATTCGAAGAGCAACGTGATCATTCTGATGCACTAAACAGTTTCTGAGTTTCTGCCTCGATAATCTTACTCAGGGAATGAAAACAATTTCATAAAACCGGATATACGTTAGGCAACACACTTCCACATCAAATGGCAAATTGATCCAACATCCAAGTGTGACTAATTACTTATTAAAATATAACAATGGTGAATCTGACAGCGATAAGTTCCATCAGCTGGTGTTTGAAGAGAGGGGAACAGTACAATTCAAAGGTGAAGCTGACATTTAAAGTTTGAGTGTAAATTCCACATGAATGACGCGTTTCAGTCGGTAGACACGTGGCTCGCTGCAGTTTCAAGGTCGGTTTGTAAAATTCCGATGAAGAGGGAAATCGTTTTGCTTTAACCATCTCGACGTGTCATTCTTCTTGGTTAACTTCAGAAGGTGATGGCGAATTCTCGATCTGTTTTTCGGCTTGTTTTACTTTCTCTTGTTCTGAAAGTTGTTCACTTGTCGGAATGGAGTTTTTCTTGGGACGACCTTTCGGCTTCGTCGGGGACTCCAGACCTCCTCCTTGCAATACCTTTTGAATGAAACTATAATTTAGCAACAACACCGTCTATTGGGAAATTGTTTCCTTGATGAAAATCCATTACGGAGAATACTTACTATTTTCTTCCATTTCATTCTTCGGTTTTGGTACCAGGTTTTCACCTGAAGTTGACTAAGACCCAAGGATTCTGCTAGATCTATTCTGTATTCAACAAAATAAAAGTTAATACATTTGGGAACATTAAAAATATAAAATTATTTTAAGTAGCAATGAAACATTCCGTTAATAAAGGGGTCGTTTCCCGTGTTGAACGGCCTGCAGATTTGTAAATGAAAACTGCACTTTAAAAATGTGTTGTACTTCACAATAACTGTAGGTGCATGCAAAACAAATTAAAGTTGGACTGCCTCTTATCACCTCGTTCCCCTCCCCGATTATAACAATATTAACCTCAAAGGCGATATTCTGATTGACAAATTGCCCTCTTTGCTATTAGAATGGATCTGCATGTTTAGGATGAAAGGAGAATATTTGGAATGTCATGGTGTACCATATCAACGAAATAGATTATGTCCTCTACTGTTCTCACTGATCTTTGTGTATCTGTTTCTGATGCTGTTGTTTGCTGGCCAGTACCCACTGCTGAATCGGTTATATATGCGTCTTCTATTTCTACAACCTCATTTCTACGTTTGTTTACGTTCAGTTATCCCTACTGTCCACTGAAGGGGTCAAAGGAAACCATAGAAGTGTAATAAGCGGGGAAGGTGTGACGTTTTGCCATCTGTTTCAGCCGAAGCAATTCGGCTTTGAAATAATATACGATCCGATGTTCCAAAGGTAGTTGAATACAACCCGCCTGGCTCTCGACTGAGTTGTATATATGTAAAAATTATTATGTGTTTCTTTAAAAAAATGATATTTTTAAAATAAACTGTCAATATTCAAAGTTACCTGTCTGGTGTGGAAAGATATTTCTGCTTTTCAAATCGTTTCTCGAGGCCCATTAGCTGTAGTTCAGTGAAGACTGTCCGGCTCCTCCTGCCTTTTTTCGCTTTGTTTCCTGGTTCGGGACCTTGTTCTAGCTTTGACCGGAGGTGCAGGTCGAGTGGAAGGTGAGGAGCTCCGTGGCCGCTGGACAGGCTTGATCCTCCAGATACCAACGCTGAACCCAAAGGAGCGGCAAGGCTACACGAGATCGGACCCAGCGGGAACTTAAAAGCTCCACTGTGATCTGATTTCAGGCCAGCTGTAAGCATTCCGGGCACAAGTATTACTGCCAATGCTGCAGGGAACTCCAAACTTGTACTTTAGTACGTTCCAATTAAAGGTATATCCATCGACACACGCAAGGCTGCGCAGTCAATTTAGCAAAAGCCGATGAAATATAGCACTTCGCAAATAATTTTCATTGTGCCCTTTGTCATATGTAACATAAAATTTAAAGATGAACGTGGAGCCATCAGCTCTCCTGTGAGACAGTGTTACACTGCCAGAATTTTATGACAAAAAAACTCAAATATATTCATTCTTTGTTTTATGCAACAAGTAATATTTCATAGTTATTCCATACAGTCATGTAATGGCTGGTATTAAAATAATTGCTGCCGAGCTAATAAGCATTTTTAACATATTGCACTCCTCTATAGGAAATTGACCTTCCTTTACAAAACTGAGCATAATTCTATTTAGTAACAAGTCATAAATGCTAGCCATCGCAGCAGCAGCGCTACAATGTTGTCTTTATACGCCGGTTGTCTCGAAGGAAACAGGAAATTATTCAATTTACCACTTCATTCATAAATTTATTTTCCGTGATGTGCGATGACATTCCTCAGGATCTGGATTAAAGGATTGTTGTATTCGATTGTGTCTTTTTTTTAAGGTGATAGAGCGTTCACTATTTTAAGTGAGGATTGGTTTGGGGCGGAACGGTGTTAAAGTTTGAATAAATACTGGCCGTTTATGCGCGTGGGTGTATTGGAAGGCGTGAGATTCCCTCTTCAAAATAAATGCTGAGATTTTCCTGGTTTTTTGGCGTTAGAATACTTTTCGACCATGTATTTCCGATTTAGGTACATGCTGTTTACTCTAGGAAAATATGGTTGGGACCTTGGATAATATTCTAAGAAAATTAAACACCGGATATATTTTCTTTCTTAGATTACAGACACTATGTGAAAATATGCAACATTTCTTATACAATACCAAATTTGCTACAACATCATTGCCTGGACTTTTGAAGCACATTTTCTAGGCCTTGTCAAAATATGCACAGTATTGTGACCGACGGTTACGATTACCTTATCTGTTTATGAGATTGTTGTGTGCGGATAATTCTAGTTTGTTTTATTTGTTGCATATCATGTACCGCTTACGATCCAAAATTAAATTAAATTGAGTGGACATTCCATCGATGAAGAAACGCAACTGGCCACTAACTATAGAAAATATTTAGTTGGGTAACAAATAGAAGCGTTTGGGCTGAGTAGTCATTTAGAAGGCACATTTTTTAAAAAATGCATTAAGGAAAGCTAAGAGTGAGGAAAGATTTCCACTTACCTAGATGGCTATGGTAGGGCCGACTATTCAGCAGGGCATGGACCCCGAATTTGAGGAGTTCTCCCCCGTTCGCGGCTTTGCCTGAGCCTGGGGGCTCAGTCAGTATCTCCTCGATCATAAAGCTCCTGTATCGGTGAGACCTATAATCATGGATCGGCTCGTGAGGCAGGTAATGAGCTTCCAGCTCCAGGGGATTCTGCATCATTTTCTTTAACGCCACAATCCACAGAGAAGGGGGTAGGGGGGGGGGGGGATGGGATGGGGGGGGGGGGGGGGGGGGGGGGTGCTGGATGGATACCGACACTGCAGGTTGATGTTCCCGTCACTGCTGCAGCTGCTCTCCCCCCGAATCCCGCGCCGTGCTCCTCAGTGCTCCCCGCCGCAGCGAGCTTTCATTTCGGTGCAGGAGACCGCTTCATTCTGACACATACTCTCGCTCAGGACGCGGAAAAAAGGATGACGCGATTTTGAAAGAGCGCGATCCGTTGTGTGCGACCGGCCGTCTCGTTGCTCGTTCGCTTGCAGCGATATGCAGCTTTTCCGCACTTCAAAACCGTACGATCTTGTCGGGGAAGAACGAGAGGTTTGCAACATCATGAACTCACGTGATTTCGCCTCTCTCTTTCTCTCCCCTTCTCCGCCCTGTAGGGAGCCACCCAGCATTTCAAACAGCCTATAGCAGCTCTCCTGGTTCCTCATTATAATTGGAAAAAAAAACATCCCGGCTGCAATCACAGCACTCAGACTTGGAGTACACTCAAATCTTACGCTGCCTGCTGTTCCCAAACCAGTCCAACTTCCATTAGAATGAATTTAACCCTAAACTCAAATGCAGCAGAACGATATTAATGATCAGCTTTGTTTGCTGGAAATCATAAGCATTAGACCATTTCTAATGTTAGGCAATGCATAGGCATTGCAATGAATTCCTGCACTTGGTGTGAAATTAGACTGCTCCTGGCAGTTTTTGGCCGCTTAACAAGAGCATTTGGTTTGATTCAACATTGCTGGAGGCTTGTCCTCCAAGTTACTGGGGAGGGGACGGCGGCGCATGGCTCTGATTTATTTACTTTGCTCTGCGTCGTTAAGTTTTCTAACCAGTTGCAACCGAGGAAAATAACGAAACGCCGCGCACCAAATAGCGACAGAAGATGGGTTTTGTTTTAATCGGGCCTGACGGCAGCTCCTAATGTCACGTGGTTCTCCCTCTTGCAAGGGGCCACTCTCTGCTGCTGGAAATGGAGGATTCCAGCACAATGTCACTTGTCTTCCGCTGGACTGTCTACATTCCTGCCGCAATGCTGTGCCATACAATTCAAAGGTGCTCATGCTGAACGTGACGCTAAGGCCATATTTCTCGAATTTTCTAAATATGTTTAAAATTGAATGAATAACCCGTAACTGACAACGACACCATTCCTTTGGGAAATTCACACTCTCCGTGACCGACCCATTTCGAGACGCATTTCAACTTCTAGTGGAGGAGATTATACATGAACACAGCATTTGAGCAGCTGGACTTTATTGAATGTTCAGTGGTAAAGGATAAGCCTAGATGTTGGAAATGTAGCCTTCGGAACAAGGGGACTGATTGCCTTCTGATTTGACGGGGGCACGTGGCAATTGGGAGCTTTTTTTTCAAAGCAACTAGGATGCAAACCGTCCTAAGCCACAATCCCCGGAAATCTAATTGCTAGATCGAAAGAACTGTAGATGACAGCTCACAATTAGACATTTCTCCTCTGCCCTCATTAAATACAGCCTAACATTTGGGGTTTTTTTTTGTCTATGCATTACGCCAGCTCAGTATTATTTCCTGGCAATTACAGCCCGAAAACATTTTAAAGCAATGTCAGTGCTCTCTTGAAAATATGGGATTTCCATCTGTTGTTTTTTGCTTTCGCGCATCGTCTGAATGACTGCTAAACACTTCCTGTGAAATCTCAGACTTTCTCGTGAATATGTTCGCTGTTTCATTTTATACTTACACCGTGCAAACCAATTTATATCTTATTTTAACTGTGCTCTGGTGTGTGTGTGTTGGAAGAGGGGGGAAAGTGGGGATGGGGAGAGTCATCGATTTGCTTCGTGCAAAATGAAATTGCTGGACCGACTTTTCCAAGAATGATTTGCTTTTGTTAGCAATTGTCAACATCGTGACTCCCAGGTCCAAAGCCACAAAGAAGCCAATTTGTAAAGAAAATTGCATCAACTAAAAATAGATTGCAAATACTTCGGTCTCGTTTCTAGTTTACGGATTACAATGAGACCACGTCCTGAGAATAATGGCTGGCGTCACATACACTGTCTGAAGGAGAGGTGGGCATTACATAACAGGGAATCCAGGATGGCGTGTTGACCCCCCCACCCGCCCCCACGACAACGTAGCTTCTATCTCTAAGACATGCTCTAATTAAGTTCCCCTGTGAACGTACACATGCATTTTCACAGTACACTTGTTTGAATAACTGAAAGTAGGGCGCAAGTTTGGGAAGTGGTTTAAACAGCTTGTTACCCAATTAGATACTTCCTGTGTCATTTTACATTACAGAAAAAGAACAAATATTGGTCTAAAATAGTCAGAAAATATTGCATTATTATAATATATCATATACGAATTTATTACATACATTTTTTCCAATTTTATAAAGGTTAATTTACTTCCACGAGTCCAGCCCATTTCCCTTTTCCTCTCATTAAAACCGAATGACCCGAAAGCTGCCAATGAGAAGCAAACTCCACACTCACTAAACTTCGAGACATAAAGGGGAACTCACCTGCAAGCCAACGTGAAACTGAGAAATGAAAAGCTATCAATTGTGCTATTTTTCTACGCCAATCATCAGGGTAAAGGAGGGGTTAGTTTAAATCGCATCCCCTGATACTTTTGGAGATAACAGCTTCAATATCAAATAAATATTTTAATTGCAATCGACCCTACAGCCAGAAAAAAAAACACAAATTGTATGAAATGTTTTAATTACGAAGTTTGACAACGGTTTTTATTGCCATCATCATTCTAATGCGATTACACGAAATATTGGGCCCGGCATTTTAAGGGCACAGGAAATAAATGAATTTACAGAGATCCTGTGCGCATCCTGTGCTTCAGTCCCGGAAAGATCATTTTGTTTAACTTTAAACTAAAATTATCAGGACCAAGAACGCTACCTTGAATATATTTCGTAAATGTAAGTGTCAACATAATGTATTGTGCTTGTAACGTAATTAGGGCACCTGACACGTAGGCAAGTTTTGATGAATGTCTTGTTTACTTCGTCTGTGATTAAACGAATGGTAGTACGTCCATCGTTGGGTGTCTCATTAGTCCCTTACAGCAACCTTTTACATATAAAAAAAGGAATATTGATACATTTATATTTTGTTACAGTCCAAATGTTAAATATTAATTCATTCATTCCAATTTAAGTTTACCACATGAAGCACAATCAATAAGAGTGAGTCAGATGACAGCAAATTCACAGCTCCATGAATTCTATGCCGTTTACTCCGATGCGTTTTATCCACACTTAGGCCTTTACATTTTTGCTTCTTATTAGGATTACCCACCTTTGATTTTATCATTAAAGACATAGAATATTACTTTTCTGGTCTGTCCAAAATAGTACTGTCAAAACACGCGAAATGTCCCGAATGGAAGATTTTTTTTTAAAGAAATATTTGGTTCTTGCTCCAGTTTGATTATTGGTACCCCATCAAATTGGTACCGCGGAAGTTGGGTGCCTTGTTACACGCTTTATAGTGAAGTGTTTCTATACACCCTGGACTAGGTGGAGTCTCGCTATTAGCCGCAAAGAAAACCGCAGCAAAAGTATTAAGCATAAATCTACCATCACTAGCAGACCAATGGGCGCTGAAAGCTTTATATTCTTTATATAAACCCCGTTTCTGGCCTTAAAAGTCCCGTTTCACAGTTTGCATCATAACTTTCTTCCAGGATGAAGTCGACTATTTCACATGTGCAACTGTTGCTTGATTCTACATTTGCAGGGTTTCCTTTTTCTGTTCATTTTCAAATGAATCCACAAACCTATTGCATTTTCAACGCAATTAGTAGTAGAGTTAAAATAGAAAAAAGAGATTCTAGTGGCAGTGTAGTAAAAAACTGGGAAAGTGAATGTGCTTTGATAGTTACAGTAATATATAACTATGTGCTACATATGTCAAAGCATGGAAAGTAAACTTTACAGAAGGAATGGATGTGACAAAACATTTTCAATCAGTGAATGACATTTTCATACGAAACATTATAGCTTGTATTCGTCTGAAGCTATCAACAAGTTAATGCATTCAGCGAACCCTAGATTACTACAATTCCTTTTCTACTTGATGACATGGGTTGGAGAGGTTTCTTGTTAGGAGTCAAAAAGTAACAGGAAACAACTAGCGTGAACTCATTGGAAACTGGAACGGTTCATCACGAATTATAGAACAATGTAGATATCAATTTCTACGTGCACATGAACTGTCAATTATTTATATTCCTTTGCACTATATTCCTTGAGTGTTATTTCTAACTCTCAATTACTTTTTAGAATAAAAGAAAAAGAAAATCTTCTCGGATGCAATTTTATATAAAATATTTTGGAGACTATTGTACACTTTTGGAGAAAACCTTTGCATTAAGTATTAACTTGATTTTAATTCGAAACGACTCGATTTTTTTGTTATTCACACTTCCGATTCGACCAGGTGGTCTTTTCATTCTGAAAGCTGCCTCCTGCTAAAATGATACATTAGCAGGATGTTTTCAAAATGTCGATAGCCTTATAATAAAATTCAAATGTAACCAAAATAGTTAGGAGCGGCATCCCTATCCCTTAGCTTTTGAGTTGGACGAGGTTTTCTTTGTAAGCCGAAGGATTGTAGCAGACTGTAGCACACGCATCCCAATTGGTTTTAAAGAGAGTTGGAGACAATGGCGACTGCAGATGCTGGAAGTCAGAGTCTGTAGGGTGAGGCTGGAAAAGCACAGCAGGTCAGACAGCATCCGGGGAACAGGAAAGTCAACGTTTCGGACCGAAACCCCTAGTGACGAAGGTTTTCGGCCCGAACCGTTGACTTTCCTGCTCTTTGGATGGTGTCTGACCAGTTATGATTTTAAAGACACTTGACAAGAAAGGTAAGAAAGCCTGTATTTTCTTGATTCGTTGTGCCAGATCAAATAGAAAACCATACTTGAAA